CAGAAGATCCACAGCGGGGAGCGGCCCTACAGGTGCCCCGAGTGCGGGAAGGGGTTCAAGACCAGCTCCCACCTCCTCCTGCACGAGAGGACGCACACGGACGAGAGGCCCTTCCGCTGCGCCCACTGCGGGAAGGGCTTCACCCGCAACTCCCACCTCGTCATCCACCGGCGCACCCACACCGGGGAGAGGCCCTACGAGTGCGGGGAGTGCGGGAAGGGCTTCTCCTGCAGCTCCAGCCTTCTGGTCCATCGGCGCACGCACACGGGGGAGAGGCCCTACGAGTGTGATGAGTGTGGGAAGAGCTTCTCTATGAGCTCTGCCCTGACCTCCCACCAGCGGACCCACCGGTGAGGGACTCGGCCGCGGGAGGAGCTTCATCTGCTGCTCCAGCTCCGCCCGTCGGAGGACACACCTTTGTGGATTTGGTGATCCACAGATCCAGGTGATCCAGGCCTCACTTTCCCTTCCCCCCCACCCCCCCAATTCTTATTTTTTATACCGTTTCTTTATGTTTGGGTGGAGCTTGAGCGGCTTTAATCACGAATAACCTTTGTTGCTTGATGGGTGTGAAATCCTCTCGTTTCACTTTTAAAGTGGGGGAACTGTGGGATGGAGAGGGGTGTGTGTGTTAATATTACAATTTAATGTTCGTGTTAATGTTAAAATTAATGGTAATATTACAGTTTAATGAGCCAAGTTCGCCCCAGGAGAGAGGTTTACCCCCAGCTGTTGGCTCAGCAGCACGACACCTCCTCCTCCTCCTCTCTCCCTGGGCTGGCAGGAGCTGCAAAGTGCCCCCAATCCCTGCAGGGATTCCCCCCAGACCCTGCCCTCCCCCCATCCCACCCCCTGAGCAGGTGCTGAGGGTTGTGTGGGGGATTCTCCTGGAGCTGCCCCCCTCATCCCATCCAGGAGCAGCAGCTCCATCTCCCCCTGGAATTTCCCTGCCCTCAGAACTCCTTGCTGGGATGAGAACAGAACTCCTCAGTTGCCCCAAATTTGTACCCCCAGCCGTCTTCCCACGGGGGGGGGATCCCAATAATAACAGGGAAAAGCAGGGGGAAACAGCGGGATGAGGCTCCAAAGAGCCGATTTCCAGAGGCAGGAAGGCGGGGAGAGGGCAGGGAAAGGGATCCCAGAGTGGATCCCCTGACTGATCCCAGTCCCTGCTGGTCAGGGCCAGAGTGGGAACTGGGAACAGGGATTTTGGGAGTGCAGAGCGGCGGGAAGGGGGTTGCCCTCACCCTCCTCCCCACCCTGCATTTCCCAGAGCCCAGTCACTCCCAGTACGAGCCCAGTTGTTCCCACTATATCCCACAACTCGCTCCCAGTGTGTCCCCAGTTGGCTCCCAGGATGGGCCCAGTAGGTCCCAGTAACCCCCAGTAAGGTTCCATTCATACCCCTGCAATCCCAGTCTCTCCCAGTCGCTCCCAGTATGGTTCCAGGCACACCCAGCACAGTCCCATTCGCTCCTAGTATGGTTCCAGACACACCCAGCATGATCCCAGTCACCCCCAGTAAGGTTCCAGACACACCCAGTGTGATCCCAGTCGCTCCCAGTATGGTTCCGGACGCACCCAGCACGGTCCCAGTCACCCCCACTGTAATCCCAGTCATTCCCATCATGATCCCAGTCACCCCCACTATAATCCCAGTCATTCCCATCATGATCCCAGTCACCCCCACTATAATCCCAGTCATTCCCAGGATGATTCCAGCTGTTCCATCTTAATCCCTGTGCTCTTCCAACACCTTCCTGAATGACACAGGACTGGAGGGATTCGAGGATTCCACCCCCAGGATGGGATAATCCCAGAGTGGGAACGAGAGGTCGGGAAGCAGAGCCAGGAAAGGGCCCTGGGGGTGCTGGGGGGTGCCAGTTGGGGCATTTTGGGGGGGGGGAGGGACACAATGGAAGGGAGAGATTGAGCTTTTAGAGTGTCCAAAGGAGGGCAGTGAAAGAAAAAGGGTTTAATTTGAAGGCGTGTGAGGACGCTGCTGTGTCGTGGCTTTGCCCACCAGCCCATCCCTGGGGCTGGGGATGGTTTTGTCCAGGTAATTCCCGGACCAAAAGGCCAATCAAAAGTCGCCTTTGCTAATTACATCTTCAAGGAAACGGAGGAGAAGGTCTGTTCCCTCCCTCCCCCCGGGGGAGCAGGTGCAGCACTGAAATCCTCCCTTCTCTCTCTTGTAAGAGAGTGAAGAAAAAAAAAAAAAGTTTAAAAGACGAACTGCTCGGACAGAAACCGCTGTGGAAGAATTCCAGCGGAGAGATAAAGGACCTCCGAGGTCAAAACCGGCAGCTGGAGGGGAGAGAAGAAAAGTTTGAAGGGGGGAGAGCTGCTTCTTCCCCCTTTTTGCTCTCTCTCTTTAGCAGGGAAAAGACTGAAAAATAAACCCTGTTACTTGTAAAAGTTTGTTGGAGTAAGGAGACCAGAGCGAGAAAGAGAGAGAAAAAGTTCCAGCTGCAACGAGAATACTACTACTACTAAAAATCTATTACTAGAGAGAGAAAACTGGAACTCTGAAAATACAGAATAAAACTACTTCTTCTCCTTGGACTGGTGTAAAAGGGGAAGAAGTATTTCTGTAAATATACAGCACTTCAACTTGAGTAGAAATTGTTGTGGATACAGTTCTTCAGTTTTTAATTTATTAGTAGTTTTTGTTTTACTAGTAATAAATGTTTATACTGTTTTCCCCGAATCCTGTCTCTCTTTTGTCTGCAGAAACCTTCTCTCAACTAGCAGTGATTGTGTGGAGGGTGGAAAGCAAATTAACCCAGAGCAAAACCACGGAAAGCTGGAGAGGAGGAGGCTGAGGGGAGACCTCACTGCAGTCACAACTGCCTGGGCAGGGGCAGGACTGAGGGAATGACCCAAAGTTACGTCAGGGCAGGATCAGGTTGGGGATTAGAAAGAAATTCTTCCCCCAGAGGGTGGTTGGGCACAGCCCCCGAGGCTGCCAGAGCTCGGGGAGGGTTTGGATGATCCTCTGGGTGACCCCTGGGGGTGATCCCGTGCAGGGCCAGGAGTTGGATTCGATGATCCCTGCGGGTCCCTTCCAACTTCACGTACCCCTGTGATTTATTCTGCACCTTTTTTTATTCTGCACCTTTTTTATTCAGCACATTCTGCTGCAGCCACTACCAGTTCTATCTCAAAAAAAAAAAAAAAACCCAAACCTGGGATCAGCCTCGTGGAGCCAAAGGAACCGTTCCCTGACTGCAAACACCTCCCCTCCCCACCCCTGCTTTGGGAAGCAGGATTTGACAGACGTTTGTCCGTTGGTTTGTCATAATAAATAACTTATTTACAGAAATATACCTGATTTTTTGCCGTCATCAAGTCCTGTGGGTCTCAGTGGCTCGGTCAAACCTCTCCTCTTTGTTCCTTTCTCCAGGGATTGTCCCCAGCTCTTACACATCCTCCCCCTCAGGGAAGAGAATTCCACTCCACGTGCACTGAGAGCTGTTATTGCTACCAGAATCAGCACCTGATTAATAAAAACCGGCAGATTGCTTTAAAACGCATTTTTGTAGCCAGACACGCCCAACAGTTTGTTAATCTGTCACAGTTTGTGTTAATAAAGAGGGTTGGAGCGAGTCCTTTCGGTTGGCAGGGCCTGCTGAGGGGGCTCCCATCGTGCTGGGACTGGTTGTAACCATACTGGGGATGACTGGGACCATACTGGGGATGACTGGGACCATACTGGGGATGACTGGGACCATGCTGGGAACAACTGGGACCATACTGGGGATGACTGGGACCATACTGGGGATGACTGGGACCATGCTGGGGACGACTGGGACCATACTGGGGATGACTGGGACCATACTGGGGACGACTGGGACCATACCGGGGGTGACTGGGACCATGCTGGGGACGACTGG